TTGAGATTATTTTCAACTCTATGCTAAATGTGTCGACGTCATACTTCGTTTTTCGAATTACTATGCAGGTTTTTAATTTGCTTGTGTTTTCTCTAGAGCGTTTTTGTCAGACAGATAGATAGATAGATAGATAGATACATAGAGAGACAGCGAAACTATTAGTATTAATAATTCTATTTTATAATTCTATTTTATAATTCTATTTCATAATTCTATTTCATAATTCTATTTTATAATTCTATTTCATAATTCTATTTCATAATTCTATTTCAGAATTCTATTTCAGAATTCTATTTCAAAATTCTATTTTAGAATTCTATTTCAGAATTCTACCATCACGCGACAGATAGATGGACCATCACGTGACACATGGACAACCACCTGACAAGTAGATTGACAATGGTTTTATGAATTATAAACGTTGAATCAGTTTTTCCCTTGGTTATGACTGCACACAAGAATACTAGTCACAGCGGTGCTACATAGTGTTTAGTAAGTTGTGTTCAGCAAACAAGAAAACATACCATTTAGTCACAGATTGCTACATTGTGTTTAGTAGGTTGTGTTCAGCACACAAGAAAACATACCATCTAGTCACAGATTGCTACATAGTGTTTAGTAGGTTGTGTTCAGCACACAAGAAAACATACCATCTAGTCACAGATTGCTACATTGTGTTCAGTAGGTTGTGTTCAGCAAACAAGAAAACATACCATCTAGTCACAGATTGCTACATAGTGTTTAGTAGGTTGTGTTCAGCACACAAGAAAACATACCATCTAGTCACAGATTGCTACATTGTGTTTAGTAGGTTGTGTTCAGCACACAAGAAAACATACCATCTAGTCACAGATTGCTACATTGTGTTTAGTAGGTTGTGTTCAGCACACAAGAAAACATACCATCTAGTCACAGATTGCTACATTGTGTTTAGTAGGTTGTGTTCAGCACACAAGAAAACATACCATCTAGTCACAGATTGCTACATTGTGTTCAGTAGACTGTTTACAGCTTCACAGCTTTTTGAAATATAATCTAGCATGAGACTAACGGGTTAAAAATCTACTAGTCGACAGCCTGACACTGGCAGAATACAACAAGGTGACTCACATTGGCAATATATAACACGGTGACACATTGGCAATATATAACACGGTGACTCACATTGGCAATATATAACACGGTGACTCACAGTGGCAATATACAACACGGTGACTCACACTACAACTTTATAACAAGATGACCACTGCCAGTTCTGATATAACCCAACAGTTCTTGTCATAGATCATGTCAATCGTGTATATCGAATACAGTTCTCAATTCGATATGTAGCGTCGAAATAATATTTAATAACACATTTAAGCAACACTTTCCTAGTGTATATTTTTTTATTTCTACATAAAACCAGAAGAAAACACCCTAACTTGACCTCTGACCTGTAGAAACATCCTGCTTCCCTGTGTCAGCTCTGTTCTAGTCAAACAAACATCGTGATGCTAGTTCAGGAACTACAACTTTCTCTTTCTGATGCGTGTCGGGGTTTTACACAACTTTGTGGGTTAGTTCCGTGTGCTGTTTTCATCACTAGTTATCTACTTCGTTTCATTTTTCGATAATATTTGAAACTGTGTCACAGGGCAGTGAAACAAGTGAAATCTATTTGTCAGTTGCCATGGTAATCCTTAAATGTCAAAGTTTCACAAAACGGTCGATAATTTGATCCAATAAGTGAGTAGCCTGCCCCTGTAATCCAGTGAGTGAGTAGTCTGCCCCTGTGATCCAGTGAGTGAGTAGCCTGCCCTTGTGATCCAGTGAGTAGCCTGCCCCTGTGATCCAGTGAGTGAGTAGCCTGCCCTTGTGATCCAGTGAGTAGCCTGCCCCTGTGATCCAGTGAGTGAGTAGCCTGCCCCTGTGATCCAGTGAGTAGCCTGCCCCTGTGATCCAGTGAGTAGCCTGCCCCTGTGATCCAGTGAGTAGCCTGCCCCTGTGATCCAGTGAGTGAGTAGCCTGCCCCTGTGATCCAGTGAGTGAGTAGCCTGCCCCTGTGATCCAGTGAGTGAGTAGCCTGCCCCTGTGATCCAGTGAGTGAGTAGTCTGCCCCTGTGATCCAGTGAGTGAGTAGTCTGCCCCTGTGATCCAGTGAGTGAGTAGTCTGCCCCTGTGATCCAGTGAGTGAGTAGCCTGCCCCTGTGATCCAGTGAGTGAGTAGTCTGCCCCTGTGATCCAGTGAGTGAGTAGCCTGCCCCTGTGATCCAGTGAGTAGCCTGCCCCTGTGATCCAGTGAGTGAGTAGCCTGCCCCTGTGATCCAGTGAGTAGCCTGCCCCTGTAATCCAGTGAGTGAGTAGCCTGCCCCTGTGATCCAGTGAGTGAGTAGTCTGCCCCTGTGATCCAGTGAGTAGCCTGCCCCTGTGATCCAGTGAGTGAGTAGTCTGCCCCTGTGATCCAGTGAGTAGCCTGCCCCTGTGATCCAGTGAGTGAGTAGCCTGCCCCTGTGATCCAGTGAGTAGCCTGCCCCTGTGATCCAGTGAGTAGCCTGCCCCTGTGATCCAGTGAGTAGCCTGCCCCTGTGATCCAGTGAGTGAGTAGCCTGCCCCTGTGATCCAGTGAGTGAGTAGCCTGCCCCTGTGATCCAGTGAGTGAGTAGCCTGCCCCTGTGATCCAGTGAGTGAGTAGTCTGCCCCTGTGATCCAGTGAGTGAGTAGTCTGCCCCTGTGATCCAGTGAGTGAGTAGTCTGCCCCTGTGATCCAGTGAGTGAGTAGCCTGCCCCTGTGATCCAGTGAGTGAGTAGTCTGCCCCTGTGATCCAGTGAGTGAGTAGCCTGCCCCTGTGATCCAGTGAGTAGCCTGCCCCTGTGATCCAGTGAGTGAGTAGCCTGCCCCTGTGATCCAGTGAGTGAGTAGCCTGCCCCTGTGATCCAGTGAGTAGCCTGCCCCTGTAATCCAGTGAGTGAGTAGCCTGCCCCTGTGATCCAGTGAGTGAGTAGTCTGCCCCTGTGATCCAGTGAGTAGCCTGCCCCTGTGATCCAGTGAGTGAGTAGTCTGCCCCTGTGATCCAGTGAGTAGCCTGCCCCTGTGATCCAGTGAGTGAGTAGCCTGCCCCTGTGATCCAGTGAGTGAGTTGCCTGCCCCTGTGATCCAGTGAGTAGTCTGCCCCTGTGATCCAGTGAGTGAGTAGTCTGCCCCTGTGATCCAGTGAGTAGCCTGCCCCTGTGATCCAGTGAGTGAGTAGCCTGCCCCTGTGATCCAGTGAGTGAGTAGTCTGCCCCTGTGATCCAGTGAGTGAGTAGCCTGCCCCTGTGATCCAGTGAGTGAGTAGCCTGCCCCTGTGATCCAGTGAGTGAGTAGTCTGCCCCTGTGATCCAGTGAGTGAGTTGTCTGCCCCTGTGATCCAGTGAGTAGCCTGTCCCTGTGATCCAGTGAGTAGCCTGCCCCTGTGATCCAGTGAGTGAGTAGCCTGCCCCTGTGATCCAGTGAGTGAGTAGCCTGCCCCTGTGATCCAGTGAGTGAGTTGCCTGCCCCTGTGATCCAGTGAGTGAGTAGCCTGCCCCTGTGATCCAGTGAGTGAGTTGCCTGCCCCTGTGATCCAGTGAGTAGCCTGCCCCTGTGATCCAGTGAGTGAGTAGTCTGCCCCTGTGATCCAGTGAGTGAGTTGCCTGCCCTTGTTATTTCCTTCCCAGCCCAAAACACTTGAAAGATAGGCCACCACCAGCGACAACCCCGCCCTACACACTACAAAAGGCCACCTACCTTGACAACCCCGCCCTCCACGCTACCAAGGCCCCCCCCCCCTACTTCGACAACGCCGCTATCCCCGCTAACAAAGGCCCATTACCTCGACAACCTAGCGCTCCACGCCACCAAAGACCTCCTACCTTTATTACCCCGCCCCACACGCTACCAAAGGCCACCTACCTTTATTACCCCGCCCTCCACGCCACCAAAAGCTACCTACCTTGGTCCACTATTTCATGTTGATCTTCTATCGTGAGCTCACCGTCACAAGGGGAAGTCACTCAGGAAAACCATCACAAGGGAAGTAAGTGTCTCACAAAGTGGCTTACGTCGATACAGGCTGATACTGTATATATTTTAGTACCGTCAAGTAATATCCTGAAAGACGAGTGGACACTAGGCCAGACCTATTTGTTAATGACGCTCTATATCAATGTGATTAAAGGATAGCCCCACCCAGTTGTCGCTTCTTCCTTCATCAACTTTGTTCAACTTTTGATTACATTCGTGTGCAATGGTTGTGGTGTATTCAACATTCGTCCCATCACCCGTGTGAGGTAAGTTGTTCTCAATTTATATCAAACACGGTCATTGATACGTCTCAATTAATGCTTCATTGTTAATTATTTAATTACTCGCCTGCTAACACGTGATGTCTACAGTTACCTCGCTCTTTTTCCATGTTATATATATATATATATATATATATATATATATATATATATATATATATATATATATATATATATACATATATATATATATATATATATATATATATATATATATATGTATATATACATGTATTTATACATGTATATAAATATATGTATATATAATATATATAATATATATAATTATATATATATATATATAGAGAGAGAGAGAGAGAGAGAGAGAGAGAGAGAGTATACAGAAGATATTTATTCAAGCATTTTACCAACGTATTGAAATTATGAGAATAATAATGATGAGACATAATCGGGATTAAGTTTCAACTTTTTTTAAAAATGTTTTCAATTGTATTTAGAGAGTGAAATTGTAGAAGTGAGTAGTCTGTTATAGATCTCTATCACACGCTAGCCTGAAGCACAGCTCACCTATTAAAAATGTCCACAACAAAGTGATGTTTACCACCACACCGGGACGGAACTGATACCCCGTGTTAGCTATTGTGTAAGACCCGGATGTTTTTCTTTCTACCCGAGCTCAGCCCTATCGAGTTCCCAAACATTCATTTATTTACACCGCACACCACGATCTCTCGCTACATTAGAGTTTCAGTAAACACGGATAAAAATGTGGAGAAATACTAAGTGGTTAGACGTCTTTCTTTGCTTGTGTTGTAAAACAGGGGAAGGAAATCTGCACAGAACACGGCACGTTTTAGTGCGTGTGTGCTGGAAATAATTAGTCAGCCACACAGTAAGTTGTATTTTAATTTTAATGTGTGTGTGTGGAAAATTTATTAAAACATACACACATGTAAAGAGGACAGCGTTACACAGAAACCTAAGCCTACTATCAAAACTTAACGAACAGCGAAAATCTAAAAGAAATAAACAAATGCATTATTATGCTAAATCATTCATTCGATCGTTATCAGTGAGGTGAAATGGTTCACTTCTGAGTTAAAGTGTTCAAATGGGGAAAATCACAAAAACAATTAACGTTGGTATTTCTAATCCTGTAAATATTTGAAGCAACTGTGAAAGAATATTCCCAGGTAAAAATTCGTGGCATACATGCAACAATGGGGAGGGCGGGGTCTTGTTCGGGATTTTGTCGTGCTCGGTTATTTCATTTCACCCCCATGCTTCAAGTCATGGTTTGTTAAAAGTGGGTCAATTAATGTGTAACGTGTTAACACGGATACTGCAACACGGCTTTACAACACGGACATAGACACACTGCACCACACATAAACACATTCCTAAACCCTTGCTAGGTGGTTGTACACTGAGAATAGGGCTGACTCTACTCCACCTACACCGTACACCATCATGTCACTATTAAGACTGGATAAATCCTCTCGGTGGGCTACAGTGTAGCCGTGGCTGTCAGCTGTTGGATCGCCAGCCTATCTTCTACTGGCCGTCTGCTCTAACCTGATCGTTTGCTGACTTCACTAACCTGGTTTGTATGTCAGTTACTCGGGTATCACGTTCATTTAGAGCATTGTGTTACATTGTGTTACATTGTGTTACATTGTGTTACATTGTGTTACATTGTGTTACATTGTGTTACATTGTGTTACATTGTGTTACATTGTGTTACATTGTGTTACATTGTGTTACATTGTGTTACATTGTGTTACAGCTGAGATGGTTGTCTTGAGATGGTTGTCCTTAGATGGTTGTCCTTAGATGGTTGTCTTTAGATGGTTGTCCTTAGATGGTTGTCTTTAGATGGTTGTCATGACTCCAGACATTTACCAACCTGCCTGCCATATTGATCTGCTACAGATATTATCAGAGCTCGCCACTTCTCGTGTGGTGCGGCCGTAAAATTTGCTAAAGAAAACTATTTTTATCTGCGGACTGTAAAACCTTATCTTTGTTTGGTCGTGTGACGTAATATGTTGACATCAGGTAATATGTAATGGTTACAATGTGTAATGTGTTGCATGTAACATATATGTATTTATCACTTTTTGTAACTCGTGTTTGCATTTGTCATAACATGATTTTGTTTACACAATCGAGTTTTACAACTTATAAAAACGCATTAGTTCACTATAGGTCAAGTGTGAAATACAAATAATGAGCCGCCATTTTGTATATAAACTATTACTGTGTGCTAAGATATTTGAAAACTTGCATTACGTAATTTCCGCTCAAATTTTTTAAGTGAAGGTGTACATTGTTGTTGTTGTTATTGTTGTTGTTGTTGTTGTTATACAAAAATTATTATCTTAAACGTAAATATACCTGGTCTGTCTCAGGAGTTGAGAATATTGAGGACATTATGTTAGTGATTTGTTCCACTTTAATGGTTGTTATCGAGGACGTTATGTTAGTGAATATGTGTCATATGATTGCTGACTCGTCTATATGCCGTGTTGTGTCATCTGTATGTTATCTGTACAGTTTGTCATCTGTATATAACGCCATCAGTATATAGTGACATGCATGTTGTGTCACCTGTATATTGTGTAATGGGCTGGTGTGGTCAGACAGCATACACACGGGACCTGATTGTAATGGAATGGTGTGGTCAGAGGGTAGAGCGCAGCATTGCTAGCCTGTGGGCGTCGAGTTCAGATCCCGGGCTCGTCATAGAAAAGACCACACTTTCTAATCATTTGCCAATGTCACAGGTGAACTCTACTTCATCCGCTTTAAGAATCCACCAGATCTGAAAGGGTAACACACTAGGCTTCCCGTGTATCAAACGGGACAAATACGGATTCTACCCATCTTTTTAATGGCTGCAAAACGTGTCGCATTAATTATAAATTAATGGCCACTACATGTGTCAACATTACGGTTAAAACATCCGCCAGCAGCCTAAATATTTTAAACTTTACATCTGGTCTCAAAGCACGCGATAAATTATATTTCGTCATTAAAACAGGTGGCTTCGTATATAGCTAATTACACGGCAAAACAAAACCCATAGAGAATGTAGGCCTTAAGTGGGTGTGGGGGAATATCCGGGTCTTGACACCATTTGGTCAAAACATTCAGCCTCACATACGTAAATGAATGACGTAGTCCACAGAAAAATGGGAGAATTTCCTCCTAGGAGTTTCCTCGTACTATATATAGAATAATACTTTGTGGAAACGTTATTCTTTAAAGGTTTTTTGAATAGACTAGACAAACATTCGCTTAGTTTAAAAGAGGGAAGATGATGTTTTAGCTGCAGCAAGTTAGTGGTACTGTCATTATATTATATCTTTTTGCTACAGTGATATTGTAAATATAATTATCTTCTACCTTCAGTCTTTCTTCTTCTTCTTCGTTCTTAATTTTAGTGTTGGAAGATATCCCCTCTAACACAATTAAGGATACGTGTCGACTGGTTATGCGCCATTGAGGCCATTGACTCCGATTTCAGCCTGCTTTTCTTTTTGGATTTGCTTCCATATCCTTTGTCCAACCAAGAACAAACTACATGGCAGCAGTTGTTTGATTTTGTAGTTGTCTCTCTTAGAAGAGTGGCTGTCCCCAGCTAACGAGCCTCATCTACCCGAGGATTCGAACTGGAGACTATTCGGTTTAGCAACCATGAGCTTTACCGACTCGACCATACCGACTCCTTTACCTTCAGTAATATTGTCAATATATCTTTTAGCTTAAGTGAGATTGGCAGTATATCTTTTAGCTGCAGTGAGATTGGTAATATATCATTTAGCTTCAGCAAGCCAGTGGTACTGGCAATAGGTTATGTTAGCTGCAGTCTCATGTTAGCTGCAGTGTACCATCTAACTGCCCCTACACTTTAGCCTGTAGTCTACCATCTAACTGACCCTACACTGTAGCCTGTAGTCTACCATATAACTGACCCTACACTGTAGCCTGTAGTCTACCATCTAACTGACCCTACACTGTAGCCTGTAGTCTACCATCTAACTGCCCCTACACTGTAGCCTGTAGTCTACCATCTAACTGCCCCTACACTTTAGTCTACCATCTAACTGCCCCTACACTGTAGCCTGTAGTCTACCATCTAACTGCCCCATCTAGCCTGTAGTCTACCATCTAACTGCCCCTACACTGTAGCCTGTAGTCTACCATCTAACTGCCCCTACACTGTAGCCTGTAGTCTACCATCTAACTGCCCCTACACTGTAGCCTGTAGTCTACCATCTAACTGCCCCATCTAGCCTGTAGTCTACCATCTAACTGCCCCTACACTGTAGCCTGTAGTCTACCATCTAACTGCCCCTACACTGTAGCCTGTAGTCTACCATCTAACTGCCCCTACACTTTAGCCTGTAGTCTACCATCTAACTGCCCCTACACTGTAGCCTGTAGTCTACCATCTAACTGCCCCTACACTGTAGCCTGTAGTCTACCATCTAACTGCCCCATCTAGCCTGTAGTCTACCATCTAACTGCCCCTACACTTTAGCCTGTAGTCTACCATCTAACTGCCCCTACACTGTAGCCTGTAGTCTACCATCTAACTGCCCCTACACTGTAGCCTGTAGTCTACCATCTAACTGCCCCATCTAGCCTGTAGTCTACCATCTAACTGCCCCTACACTGTAGCCTGTAGTCTACCATCTAACTGCCCCTACACTGTAGCCTGTAGTCTACCATCTAACTGCCCCTACACTGTAGCCTGTAGTCTACCATCTAACTGCCCCTACACTTTAGTCTACCATCTAACTGCCCCTACACTGTAGCCTGTAGTCTACCATCTAACTGCCCCATCTAGCCTGTAGTCTACCATCTAACTGCCCCTACACTTTAGTCTACCATCTAACTGCCCCTACACTGTAGCCTGTAGTCTACCATCTAACTGCCCCTACACTGTAGCCTGTAGTCTACCATCTAACTGCCCCATCTAGCCTGTAGTCTACCATCTAACTGCCCCTACACTTCAGCCTGTAGTCTACCATCTAACTGCCCCTACACTGTAGCCTGTAGTCTACCATCTAACTGCCCCTACACTGTAGCCTGTAGTCTACCATCTAACTGCCCCATCTAGCCTGTAGTCTACCATCTAACTGCCCCTACACTGTAGCCTGTAGTCTACCATCTAACTGCCCCTACACTGTAGCCTGTAGTCTACCATCTAACTGCCCCTACACTGTAGCCTGTAGTCTACCATCTAACTGCCCCTACACTTTAGTCTACCATCTAACTGCCCCATCTAGCCTGTAGTCTACCATCTAACTGCCCCTACACTTCAGCCTGTAGTCTACCATCTAACTGCCCCTACACTTTAGTCTACCATCTAACTGCCCCTACACTGTAGCCTGTAGTCTACCATCTAACTGCCCCTACACTGTAGCCTGTAGTCTACCATCTAACTGCCCCATCTAGCCTGTAGTCTACCATCTAACTGCCCCTACACTGTAGCCTGTAGTCTACCATCTAACTGCCCCTACACTGTAGCCTGTAGTCTACCATCTAACTGCCCCTACACTGTAGCCTGTAGTCTACCATCTAACTGCCCCTACACTTTAGTCTACCATCTAACTGCCCCTACACTGTAGCCTGTAGTCTACCATCTAACTGCCCCATCTAGCCTGTAGTCTACCATCTAACTGCCCCATCTAGCCTGTAGTCTACCATCTAACTGCCCCATCTAGCCTGTAGTCTACCATCTAACTGCCCCTACACTTTAGTCTACCATCTAACTGCCCCTACACTTCAGCCTGTAGTCTACCATCTAACTGCCCCTACACTGTAGCCTGTAGTCTACCATCTAACTGCCCCTACACTGTAGCCTGTAGTCTACCATCTAACTGCCCCATCTAGCCTGTAGTCTACCATCTAACTGCCCCTACACTTTAGTCTACCATCTAACTGCCCCTACACTTCAGCCTGTAGTCTACCATCTAACTGCCCCTACACTGTAGCCTGTAGTCTACCATCTAACTGCCCCATCTAGCCTGTAGTCTACCATCTAACTGCCCCTACACTGTAGCCTGTAGTCTACCATCTAACTGCCCCTACACTGTAGCCTGTAGTCTACCATCTAACTGCCCCTACACTGTAGCCTGTAGTCTACCATCTAACTGCCCCTACACTTCAGCCTGTAGTCTACCATCTAACTGCCCCTACACTTTAGTCTACCATCTAACTGCCCCTACACTGTAGCCTGTAGTCTACCATCTAACTGCCCCTACACTGTAGCCTGTAGTCTACCATCTAACTGCCCCATCTAGCCTGTAGTCTACCATCTAACTGCCCCTACACTGTAGCCTGTAGTCTACCATCTAACTGCCCCTACACTGTAGCCTGTAGTCTACCATCTAACTGCCCCTACACTGTAGCCTGTAGTCTACCATCTAACTGCCCCTACACTTTAGTCTACCATCTAACTGCCCCTACACTGTAGCCTGTAGTCTACCATCTAACTGCCCCATCTAGCCTGTAGTCTACCATCTAACTGCCCCATCTAGCCTGTAGTCTACCATCTAACTGCCCCTACACTTTAGTCTACCATCTAACTGCCCCTACACTTCAGCCTGTAGTCTACCATCTAACTGCCCCTACACTGTAGCCTGTAGTCTACCATCTAACTGCCCCTACACTTTAGTCTACCATCTAACTGCCCCTACACTTCAGCCTGTAGTCTACCATCTAACTGCCCCTACACTGTAGCCTGTAGTCTACCATCTAACTGCCCCATCTAGCCTGTAGTCTACCATCTAACTGCCCCTACACTGTAGCCTGTAGTCTACCATCTAACTGCCCCTACACTGTAGCCTGTAGTCTACCATCTAACTGCCCCTACACTGTAGCCTGTAGTCTACCATCTAACTGCCCCTACACTTTAGCCTGTAGTCTACCATCTAACTGCCCCTACACTTCAGCCTGTAGTCTACCATCTAACTGCCCCTACACTTTAGCCTGTAGTCTACCATCTAACTGCCCCTACACTTTAGCCTGTAGTCTACCATCTAACTGCCCCTACACTTTAGTCTACCATCTAACTGCCCCTACACTTCAGCCTGTAGTCTACCATCTAACTGCCCCTACACTTTAGTCTACCATCTAACTGCCCCTACACTGTAGCCTGTAGTCTACCATCTAACTGCCCCATCTAGCCTGTAGTCTACCATCTAACTGCCCCTACACTTTAGTCTACCATCTAACTGCCCCTACACTTTAGCCTGTAGTCTACCATCTAACTGCCCCTACACTTTAGCCTGTAGTCTACCATCTAACTGCCCCTACACTTTAGCCTGTAGTCTACCATCTAACTGCCCCATCTAGCCTGTAGTCTACCATCTAACTGCCCCTACACTGTAGCCTGTAGTCTACCATCTAACTGCCCCTACACTGTAGCCTGTAGTCTACCATCTAACTGCCCCTACACTGTAGCCTGTAGTCTACCATCTAACTGCCCCTACACTGTAGCCTGTAGTCTACCATCTAACTGCCCCTACACTTCAGCCTGTAGTCTACCATCTAACTGCCCCTACACTGTAGCCTGTAGTCTACCATCTAACTGCCCCTACACTTTAGCCTGTAGTCTACCATCTAACTGCCCCTACACTTTAGCCTGTAGTCTACCATCTAACTGCCCCTACACTTTAGCCTGTAGTCTACCATCTAACTGCCCCTACACTTTAGCCTGTAGTCTACCATCTAACTGCCCCTACACTTTAGCCTGTAGTCTACCATCTAACTGCCCCTACACTTTAGTCTACCATCTAACTGCCCCTACACTTTAGCCTGTAGTCTACCAACTAACTGCCCCTACACTGTAGCCTGTAGTCTACCATCTAACTGCCCCTACACTTTAGTCTACCATCTAACTGCCCCTACACTTTAGCCTGTAGTCTACCATCTAACTGCCCCATCTAGCCTGTAGTCTACCATCTAACTGCCCCTACACTTTAGCCTGTAGTCTACCATCTAACTGCCCCTACACTGAAGCCTGTAGTCTACCATCTAACTGCCCCTACACTGTAGCCTGTAGTCTACCATCTAACTGCCCCTACACTTTAGCCTGTAGTCTACCATCTAACTGCCCCATTTAGCCTGCCGTCTACCATCTAACTGCCCCTACACTGTAGCCTGTAGTCTACCATCTAACTGCCCCATCTAGCCTGTAGTCTACCATCTAACTGCCCCTACACTTTAGCCTGTAGTCTACCATCTAACTGCCCCTACACTTTAGTCTACCATCTAACTGCCCCTACACTGTAGCCTGTAGTCTACCATCTAACTGCCCCTACACTGTAGTCTACCATCTAACTGCCCCTACACTGTAGCCTACCTCACGCAACTATTCTAATCCCTGACCGAGACGTCAGTTGACATTGGTCAGGTCAGGGACTTGGCGCGAACTTGGGTCAACTTCTGCTAATCGCCTGTATAAAAAACACCAACTGGCCTTTTTCTTAACGACACTTTGCCAGTTTTTTACACGCCTGTGTTAAAATAGTTTGATAAGGTCAATTAAAAACTAACTGGCCTTTCTCTTAACGACACTTAGCCACATTTTTTACAGTGTTAAATTTTTTTCATAATGTCAATTACCCTATAGTGAAAAATGTCACGAAATATTTTTTTCTTATCTAAGCTGTGATCGTTGTCTTCAAGAAACCGTTGGTTTAGTGGGCCACCAACCGGCAGTTTGATGCCAAATCTGGAAATACAACAAGAAGATAGTCTGGTATCAATTCTTGGAACTACTCAAATCAGCTGATTCTACAGCGGACCTATGGGAGAAATTTATAACAAATAAAATGTAAGTATTGGATTTTCTTTTCGTTATTTTTTATGTGCTTAATTTTTCTGTGTAAAAATTGGGAATATAATTATTGATTTTAGCGACTTAGTGTAATTTAATCCCTGTGATGGCTAGCTGTCTGTCGTAATGTATTCGCTTATGTGTTGGTATTGTGTAATGTGTGTAGACTCAGGCTGGTATTACATCATAGTTGTGTACATTAAAAACGTTCACGAGTACAAAATGTCCCTGTCCTCATTGAACCCGGCGATACCCCCCCCCTCTCTACTCTTCACTGAGCGGTAATCACGTGATCAATGCCTGTGGTTGCCCAGTGTAAACATGCCTGGGACGGGTTGGGTCAGGATCATTGGGTCACAGTGTCCACAGTTAACTGTTTGATGGTAGAGTGACATGGGTCAGTTGTGGGGTCAAAGGTCAGACATGGGTCACACTAGGGGGTTAGATATGGGATCAGTCATGGGGGTCACAAAAGGGGGTCACACAAGGGGTCAGACAGAGGGTCTTATTTGGTGTTAGATATAAGTTCCGATATTTATTCAGACATGGGTCCATATTAGGGGTCAAACGTGGGGTCGGCTATGAGGTCAGACCGAGGGTTAGATATGGGGTCAGAAAATGTTAGATATGGATGGAGACATGTGGTCAGATATCGGCTTAAATGGGACCTTAATGTCACACAGAATCACACGCTTCATATCAGATGGAACTAGGTATTAAAGTTTGTTCACTCACCTTGATATGATCATTCTGTTTTTAAATTCTCCTTAAATTTTTGAGGTTATCTCCCATAAAGCTACCCCCAGGGTAGTGTCCCCTGAACGTACCCATAATTCATTCTGTGGCGTCCATTGAGGTCTAGTGTTACCACTACACCAATGTTCGCGGACTTACAAATGTGTCATTCACTGAGAAAAAGTTCAAGGTCACCCAACAAAACAAAAGGCAGCCTCGACAATGGAGACACAACAAAACGAAAGCGGAAGTGACGTGCTTTATACTCATCACGTGCAAGTTGACCATGGTCCGGTCTGTTTTAATTAAAGTTGATTAAAACCTGTCACACGTTTTACTCTAATTGTAGTTGACAAGTTTAAGTTGGTGTACGTTGAAATATGGATATACAAGTCTGTGGTAAGTCTAGATGGTAGGTTGTGTGGATGGTGGGTGTGTGGATGGTAGGTTGTGTGGATGATGGGTTGATGATAGGTTGTGTCGATGGTAGGTTGTTGGTAGGTCGTGGATGGTAGACAGTCTATGGTAGATCGAGTGGATGGTAGTAGATAGTAGGTTGTGGACAGTAAGGTTATGAAATAAGCAAGTAACTAAGAAGCGTGTATGGGTAATGAGGTAGGCTAATTACCCATCGTTATGTTCGTGGAAGCGTTGTGATGGGAGGGTATATGTTGATATGCCGTCCACTGTACACACCCCATTTCAGTTTCAGGTTAACTAAGAATTTTGAGCCCAGCGATACAAATTGTAAAAAAAAAAATTTAAAAACTGAAGTAAAAAAAATTATCACTTATGAGTCACTTAGGTAAACATTATGCTGTCACGTGATACCATCAAAGACAGGTGACACAATCTCTCACCTCCTGTCGTCACGGGCAGTTCTGTCATCTTACACCCTGGGGCTGTGGGGGAAAGTTACATCAGAGTACATCGTGTCTTAAGGTGTCTGGGTATCTGGGTATCTGTGTGTGTGTGTGTCTGTATGTGTGTGTCTGTGTATTTGTGTGTCTGGGTCTGGGCATTTGAGTGTCTGTGTGTGTCTTTTATATGTGTGTCTTTGTATGTGTCCGTGTGTCTATGTGTATGTCTGTCATGGTATCTGTGTATCTGCGACTCTGGTTGTGTGCCTGTGCGTCTGTGTGTCTTGGTATCTGGGTATTTGTGTATCTATGTATCTGCGTGTCTGTGTCTTGATGTCTGTATATCTGTGTATCTGTGTGTCTGTATGTATGTTTGTTTGTGTGTCTGCGTGTCTGTGTGGGGAGCTGTGTGGTGAGAAAGGTAAGTGTATGAAAATATTTGCATGTACTTTGGCTACTCGTCAGGACGAATACTACCCTAAACCTAACTCCAGCACTAACCCAAATCCAGACCCATGCCCTAATACATGTAACCCTAATACATGTAAACCTAATACATGTAAACCTAATACATGTAAACGTAATACATGTAAACGTAATACATGTAAACCTAATACATGTAACCCTAATACATGTAAACCTAATACATGTAAACCTAATACATGTAAACCTAATACATGTAAACCTAATACATGTAAACCTAATACATGTAAACCTAATACATGTAACCCTAATACATGTAACCCTAATATATGTAAACCTAATACACGTAAACCTAATACACGTAAACCTAATACATGTAACCCTAATACATGTAAACCTAATACATGTAAACCTAATACATGTAAACCTAATACTAATCCATGCACTGAACTTATCCTTAGACAGCAAGCTTAAGCCCCATCTTAAAACGCCGCTAAAATAGAGTGTTCTGCAGGTGTTTTAAAATAACCAGCAGTGTGTAACATTTGTAAGCCTGAAAACGATGTCAAATTGTGCATTAAAATTTCTTGAATTCCTTGTTTAAACTCATCAGTCACCGTGCAAAGGCTCATCTAATCGTCCCACATTGTACGCCATCTTTTCATTAGATTCGCTCGTGTCAACGTGCCAATTACAATTTGTGCTTAATTAATTTTATATTGGATCTGGTCAGTCCGTCCACTTGTAGAACAATTCATAACGCAACCTTTGAGCTTTGTTCATGAATTTATTGTTTTCATGAAACATTTGTATGTGGTCTATACAGAGTGTTTTGGCTATTGTGACGGTAGAGTTTAGATGGGGCGTAAGGCTACTTAAAGTAACATGAATTCTGATTGGTCGCTTTTCTTTTAGTCTGCGCTTTATTTTGTTAACACAATGCATGCACAGGCCAATATAGTATGTGCTCATTGTTTCACCTTTGACACGACCTTATGGTCATCTCAACATAATGCGCTGTTTTATTTTTAGAACAGAACATGATTCAACACTGACTGCCTTACCTGTGCAGAAAAAAAGGGCTAAATTGTCTTCTATATATTTTAGTTGTTTCGTCTAAAGTTGTTTCTTTTCAATGTGTCCTACATCTACCCAAAGTTCTAAACATTTATTATAATTTTCCTTACTAGCCTACAGCCTAAGGGGATTGTTTTAATTCATGTTTTTTATAAATCAACAACTAGAATGTTTTGGCAGTAAAAAATCACCTTCAATGACACAAGGGAAACAACCATCAATTAACTTGTTATCTCCCTTAGATCTTACCTCACTGGTGACGTTATCCTGTTCATCATTTTCTTGTTAGCAAACTTTTCCGATTGACTTGTCAAAAACAAGTTCACTAACGAATTTTACAGCATGCTGTTTGTGTTAATAAGCGAATAAAACAGCGGCTGTTTTTTATATCACATCCAGACTGTCTGCAGGTGTAGATAGTTTTAGCATGCCCATACCAGTCGGCACAGACAGTTTTTTGATGTATGGTGCCATATAGGGGGACGTACAGCTTGGCTCATGTCATTTCACTGACTACTTGCCACTGAGGAGGAACTTGACAAATAGACAGACCTAGACTCTAGCTATAATAGTTTGATGTGAGGATACAAAAAGGAGATTTTTTGTTTTATGTAAAAATGTTTTTGTTTTTTAAATGTTATATCTCCTGCTTCGTAATTCGACCAAAGTTTTTATACAATGTAAAAAAAAATTCCAATTATTTTCCAATGAATATTTATAAGTTGTTTTTTTTTAAAATAATAGACAGATGTTCTTATGTTTCCGATGGAAGATTATTTAAATTGTTAATTGTATATTCATCAGTCATTAAACAAAAGTATTTTATGTCCTTCTTTAGCCCAGGCCTGACGTGTGCTGTACGCCTGCTGTACGCCTGCTGTACGCCTGCTGTACGTCTGCTGTACGCCTGCTGTACGCCTGCTGTACGCCTGCTGTACGCCTGCTGTACGCCCGCTGTACGCCTGCTGTACGCCCGCTGTACGCCCGCTGTACGCCTGCTGTACGCCTGCTGTCCGCCCGCTGTACGCCTGCTGTACGCCCGCTGTACGCCTCTGTACGCCTGCTGTACGCCTGCTGTACGCCTGCTGTACGTCTGCTGTACGCCTGCTGCACGATGTACGGTCACACAGACGCCACCTTCCAATGGGAGGACTACCTTGTGTTCAGCGTCATGCTGGCCGTGTCCTCCGTCATAGGACTCTACTTCGGCATCAAAGCCAGGCGCCAAAAGACAGCCAGCGCAGACGACATGTTGACCGGTACCAAAATAGTTTCTCACTTTTTATTTCATGCAAAGATAAATAAGTATTTTGTTTTTTATGACAACGCAAGAATCTCATTTTTATTTAATTAGATATTAAATTAGTCGTTAAAAATATATTTAAAATTTACTTTATTCAATAAGAACAAAAGAAATCAACGGGATTAAGTATAGTATAGCGATCACTCGATCAGGCGTGTGACGTCGGTGAGTTGTGTTCACGTCACGATGTTATGACGTCGGTGAGTTGTGTTCACGTCACGATGTTATGACGTCGGTGAGTTGTGTTCACGTCACGATGTTATGACGTCGGTGAGTTGTGTTCACGTCACGATGTTATGACGTCGGTGAGTTGTGTTCACGTCACGATGTTATGACGTCGGTGAGTTGTGTTCACGTCACGATGTTATGACGTCGGTGAGTTGTGTTCACGTCACGATGTTATGACGTCGGTGAGTTGTGTTCACGTCACGATGTTATGACGTCGGTGAGTTGTGTTAACGTCACGATGTTAAGACGTCGGTGAGTTGTGTTCACGTCACGATGTTATGACGTCGGTGAGTTGTGTTCACGTCACGATGTTATGACGTCGGTGAGTTGTGTTCACGTCACGATGTTATGACGTCGGTGAGTTGTGTTCACGTCACGATGTTATGACGTCGGTGAGTTGTGTTCACGTCACGATGTTATGACGTCGGTGAGTTGTGTTCACGTCACGATGTTATGACGTCGGTGAGTTGAGTTCACGTCACGATGTTATGACGTTGGTGAGTTGTGTTCACGTCACGATGTTATGACGTCGGTGAGTTGTGTTCACGTCACGATGTTATGACGTCGGTGAGTTGTGTTAACGTCACGATGTTAAGACGTCGGTGAGTTGTGTTCACGTCACGATGTTATGACGTCGGTGAGTTGTGTTCACGTCACGATGTTATGACGTCGGTGAGTTGTGTTCACGTCACGATGTTATGACGTCGGTGAGTTGTGTTCACGTCACGATGTTATGACGTCGGTGAGTTGTGTTCACGTCACGATGTTATGACGTCGGTGAGTTGTGTTCACGTCACGATGTTATGACGTCGGTGAGTTGTGTTCACGTCACGATGTTATGACGTCGGTGAGTTGTGTTCACGTCACGATGTTATGACGTCGGTGAGTTGTGTTCATGATGTAGTCACACCTGAGAAGTGATCACAGACGTTGGCAAGAGTTGGTTACAGTTCAGATCGTAAGCTAGTGATTGGGTTCTAGTGGAAAAGATGTACTCACTTGGGTCATCCAATTAATTAAGAAATAGAAAGAATAAAGAGGGTACTAATTGTTTGAAGTTGTACCTGACCGTTATATTTGTACCTGACCGTTATATTTGTACCTGACCGTTATATTTGTACCTGACCGTGTATCTGTACCTGACTTATATTTGTACCTGACCGTTATATTTGTACCTGACCGTGTATCTGTACCTGACCGTTATATTTGTACCTGACCATTGAACTTGTACTTGATCATTGAAGATGTACCTGACTGTTGTATTTGTACCTGACCGTTATATTTGTACCTGACCGTGTATCTGCACCTGACCGTTATATTTGTACCTGACCATTGAACTTGTACTTGATCATTGAAGATGTACCTGACTGTTGTATTTGTACCTAAACGTTATATTTGTACCTCACCGTGTATCTGTACCTGACCATGTATTTGTACCTGACCCTCCCCCACCCAGGGAGCGGCAAACTTCCCGTGCTGCCCGTGGCCATGTCCTTGAGTGCCAGCTTCACCAGTGCCACCACCATCCTGGGGATCCCGACAGAGGTGTACACCCGTGGGGGTGAGCAGTGGCTCTGGTGCATCGGGCTCGTCCCCTGCTTCATCGTAGTCGCCTACTTCATCCTGCCCGTCTTCTACAACCTGCGACTCACCAACGCCTATGAGGTCAGTCTGACATTTGTGCACGTCCCCTGGTCTTGATTTATCTACGTTAGATTGATATTGTAACAGTGTGTGTGTTGAATCTCAATGTGTAATGTGTACATAATTTTAATTCATTGCTTTTTCTTTTTTGAAAGACATTAATATAATAATAGAATAGAATCGCTTTAGTTAAAGGGCAGCAACAATGAATATTTATTAAATGATTTTAAAAACAATGTTGCTTCCCTTTAATTAGTATGTGCATGTAAAATTACACCAGGTGTTGGCTTTATGAGTTGAGGTGTTGTTATTGTGTGTCTAAGTGTTATTCTGATTTTGTTATTGTCTAGGTGTTGTATAGTTAGGATACGTTAGGCTTAGTATTTACGAAAGCGTAATCGAAGATTATCGATATGATTTTTTCCTTTCTAAATTAGAATGAAACTAATTAATATTTACTTTAAATCATCGTAGAATATTTAAATTTACACTAACCACTAAAGAATAAATAAAACGTTTTTTTTTTTCAGTATCTGGAGCTGAGGTACAACCGTCTGCTCCGTGCCGCTGGGTCTCTGCTGTTTTCTGTGATCATTGTAAGTCTAGTTGTTGTTGTAGTAGTTTTTGTTGTAAGTCTAGGTGTTGTTGTAAATCTAGTTGTTGTTGTTGTTGTTGTTGTCAGTCTAGTTGTTGTTATAAGTCTAGATGCTGATGTTTTTGTTATTGTTATTGTTGCTGTTGTTGTTGTAAGTTTAGCTATTGTTGGAAGTATTGCTGTTGTAATAGGGCTGGTAAGTAGGTCACCAACCAGTTCTACGGCTTAATAAAACCTGTATGAGCCATAGAACTGGTTGGTGACCTACTTACCAGCCCTATTGTAGGTGTTGTCTTAAGTCTAGTTGTTATTGTAAGTCGTGGTGGTATTATTGTAAGTGCTGTATGTCTCTTACACCACACCTTAGACCAACCTATACTACCAAGAAACTAAACTACCTTTACTGGCTATATTGCACCAGATAACACATTACACTTAATATAATTGACATAAAACTTGACGGAAAAAATAGAAATTATTTTAAAATCACGCAAAAAATGAAATAGTTAATTACTTTTATCATGAATAATGTAACGACGATCTAAGTAATAAACATTAATTTCTTACAGTTGATCTACATAGCGGGCTTTATGTAACAACGATCTAATTAATTAACTTTTTACCAAAGTTGGTCTACATAGCGGGCTTTATGTAACAACGATCTAATTAATTAACTTTTTACCAAAGTTGGTCTACATAGCGGGCTTTATGTAACAACGATCTAATTAATTAACTTTTAATTATCTACAGTTGATCTATATATAAGCCTTTATGTAACAACGATCTAATTAATTAACTTTTTACCAAAGTTGGTCTACATATCGGCCTTTATGTAACAACGATCTAATTAATTAACTTTTTACCCAAGTTGGTCTACATAGCGGGCTTTATGTAACAACGATCTAATTAATTAACTTTTTACCCAAGTTGGTCTACATAGCGGGCTTTATGTAACAACGATCTAATTAATTAATTTTCCCACAGTTGATCTACATAGCGGGCTTTATGTAACAACGATCTAATTAATTAAAATTTTCAACAGTTGATCTACATAGCGGGCTTTATGTAACAACGATCTAATTAATTAACTTTTTACCCAAGTTGGTCTACATAGCGGGCTTTATGTAACAACGATCTAATTAATTAACTTTTTACCCAAGTTGGTCTACATAGCGGGCTTTATGTAACAACGATCTAATTAATTAATTTTCCCACAGTTGATCTACATGGCGGCAGTGATGTATGCACCAGCCGTAGCTCTCAGTCAAGGTAATAAAAAAAAAATTATGTCTGTCTATAGCCAGCAGGCATAGCGCCATTTTGAATTTCTCGACATGTTTACGACCACTGTCAAAGTTTAAAATTTGGTCGGACAGATGTAGAACATTACATAAAAAAAAAAATTTTAAAACATCAAGTATACCGACCTCAAGCTGAAGGCAACCTAATTGTTATGAGTTAAGGTTCGAAAAAGTGTTTCAATTTTAAAATAACTTGAATAATCACAACAAAAACACATTTGTTTTTCTTTTTATCCTTACTTTTTTTCTGCTATAAACCACCCTTCAATTATTATACTTTCAACGCATCATTATTATGTTTTTCGTTAAAGTTTTTTTTTTTTTTAATTTTAATAAAGGAGTTAACAGAATTTACGAAAAGAGAACAAACGAAAACAGAATAAGCGAAAACAGATTATACTAAAACAGAATAAACATTTGCATCAACAGTGGTTGAAACAATACTTACTTTCACCGGATGAAAGATTAAATAACAGCTTTACTTATATAAGTGCTTGTTGTTGTTTTCTTGCTACAAATGGTGGTGTTGTGTATGTGTGGTGTGATGTGGTGGTGCTACTGTTAGTGTGGTTTTGTTGTGCTGTTTAGATAAGCTGAATGATTTTAAAGTGTGGCGGGTATAAGTTTGGCACACAGTAAATCAAACTGCCACCCACCTGCCCCTCCACATAAAGAAAAATAACTCATTGTTTTCATATCTGCATATTGAAACTTAAAACTGATTTAACCCCATTATGTTGTTTTTATTTTCAGTGACTGGTCTTTCAAGAGAAATATCTATACTAGCCATGGGACTCATATGTACATTTTATACAGCTATTGTAAGTAGAATCTAGATGTACATTGGTCTAATATGCACATTTTCTACAGCTATTGTACGTAGAGAATAGATATATTATCTCATATGCACATTTTATACAGCTATTGTAAGTAGAGAATAGATCTACTTTGTGGTAAACACTAAACACGTACCTAAAACTGGCCACCAGTTTCTGGAATTTAGGCTGTTAGTACATGTGTTACTGGTCAGTTGTCCTGGCATGTCACAAAGTTTGTGGCTGATGCTGATTTACAACCCATTGGCTTCAAGTGACAGATCCCGCGCCTACTAGTTAGAAAACATATGTTTAGTCTACTCGATGTTTACAAACATTGCTAGATGTTAATTAGAACAGTCAATTATTTGTTCTGTACATAAAGCAGTAAAAAATAAAATATTTGTGTCCACAGGGCGGCATACGTGCCGTGGTGTGGACCGACGCCTTTCAGTTGGTGGTGGTGTGGGCGGGGCTACTGGCGGTCTTGTTCAAGGGGGCAGAGGATGCCGGGGGGTGGACACGGGTCTGGGAGATTTCACGACAAGGATCTCGTCTGCCCAAGTTCGAGTGAGTAGAAAAATTTGATAAAAATTTGATAAAATAAATCTGATCAAAGGATCTCGTATGCCCTAATTTGAGTGAGTCTAAAAAAATTGATAAAAATTTGATAAAATAAATCTGATCAAAGGATACCGTCTGCCCAAGTTCGAGTGAGTAGAAAAATTTGATACAAATTTGATAAAAAGAAATCTGATCTGGACTTTTCCTGTATCGAAATCTGGACAATCCTCAGAGATGTAACTTGTCCTTTTCCTGACACTTTTCTCCATTTATTTCCTTGCTTTCTATTTTAAAAGACAAACTTTAAAATATTACCAATCTACATGTCGTCCAAAAATGACGCTACAATTATTGATCTGATTCCACTGTTCTAATACTGTTCTAATACTGTTCTAATGCTGTTCTAATGCTGTTCTAATACTGTTCTAATACTGTTCTAACACTGTTCTAACACTGTTCTAACACTGTTCTAATACTGTTCTAATACTGTTCTAATACTGTTCTAATACTGTTCTAATACTGTTCTAATACTGTTCTAATAATGTTCTAATACTGTTCTAATAATGTTCTAATAATGTTCTAATACTGTTCTAATACTGTTCTAATACTGTTCTAATACTGTTCTAATACTGTTCTAATACTGTTCTAATACTGTTCTAATACTGTTCTAATACTGTTCTAATACTGTTCTAATACTGTTCTAATACTGTTCTAATAATGTTCTAATACTGTTCTAATACTGTTCTAATACTGTTCTAATACTGTTCTAATACTGTTCTAATACTGTTCTAATACTGTTCTAATACTGTTCTAATACTGTTCTAATAATGCTCTAATACTGTTCTAATACTGTTCTAATACTGTTCTAATAATGTTCTAATACTGTTCTAATAATGTTCTAATAATGTTCTAATAATGTTCTAATACTGTTCTAATAATGTTCTAATACTGTTCTAATACTGTTCTAATAATGTTCTAATACTGTTCTGATACTGTTCTAATACTGTTCTAATACTGTTCTAATACTGTTCTAATACTGTTCTAATACTGTTCTAATACTGTTCTAATACTGTTTTAATAATGTTCTAATACTGTTCTAATACTGTTCTAATACTGTTCTAATACTGTTCTAATACTGTTCTAATAATGTTCTAATACTGTTCTAATACTGTTCTAATACTGTTATACTGTTCTAATACTGTTCTAATACTGTTCTAATACTGTTCTAATACTGTTCTAATGTTCTAATACTGTTCTAATACTGTTGTAATACTGTTCTAATACTGTTCTAATAATGTTCTAATACTGTTCTAATACTGTTCTAATACTCTTCTAATACTGTTCTAATACTGTTCTAATAATGTTCTAATACTGTTCTGATACTGTTCTAATACTGTTCTAATACTGTTCTAATACCCACGTTACAGCATGGACCCCAACCCTTTCATCCGTCACACATTTTGGACTCTGTTGATAGGCGGCGGTACCAACATGATGACAGTCTATGGAGCCAATCAGGCAAATCTACAGAGATATGCCAGTGTACGGACACTCAGAGAAGCCAAACTGTAAGTTCGGAAATTCTTTGAGTTTTTTTTCTTTCACACTTATACTAAATTATTCTTCTCATCTACACATAAGTAGAATAGTTGATTTCCCTTACTTAAAGATCTATCGATTGTCCGTTGAACTTCCGTATTTCCTCTTGCACACCAGCGCTCTGATCCTCAACCTGCCCATGTGGATATTTTACCTGACCATCCTGTGCCTGCTGGGTCTAGTCATGTACGCTTACTACTTGACCTGTGACCCTCTCAGCTTCTCTCACCTCAAGCGTGACCAGGTGAGTACAGGCACACACAACTACAACGTCACATGATAGACATGGTCAACTGTGTCACCTAGGTACATTGTTTTATATCATCGTCATCTTTTCCCGTTCGTGCCCGTGTCACATGGGGCAGTTGAAGTTGAGTTTATATATTTTAATGGCATACAGGGGATGTGGTCAACCCCATGCCCAGCCGCCGTTGGTAATGGTCAGGTACCCATCCTACAGGCTGACGCCCGGAATCCGAACATGGTAAACTCGAATGTTTACCCACATAAACAAATGTTTACCCTGGTCCCACATAAACAAATGTTTACCCTGGTCCCACATAAACAAATGTTTACCCTGGTCCCACATAAACAAATGTTTACCCTGGTCCCACATAAACAAATGTTTACCCTGGTCCCACATAAACAAATGTTTACCCTCGTCCCACATAAACAAATGTTTACCCTGGTCCCACATAAACAAATGTTTACCCTGGTCCCACATAAACAAATGATTATCCTGGTCCCACATAAACAAATGTTTACCCTTGTCCCACATAAACAAATGTTTACCCTGGTCCCACATAAACAAATGTTTACCCTGGTCCCACATAAACAAATGTTTACCCTCGTCCCACATAAACAAATGTTTACCCTGGTCCCACATAAACAAATGTTTACCGTGGTCCCACATAAACAAATGTTCACCCTGGTCCCACATAAACAAATGTTTACCCTTGTCCCACATAAACAAATGTTTACCCTGGTCCCACATAAACAAATGTTTACCCTCGTCCCACATAAACAAATGTTTACCCTGGTCCCACATAAACAAATGTTTACCGTGGTCCCACATAAATAAATGTTTACCCTTGTCCCACATCAACAAAATATGTTTACCCTGGTCCCACATAAAAAAATGTTTACCCTTGTCCCACATCAACAAAATATGTTTACCCTGGTCCCACATAAAAAAATGTTTACCCTGGTCCCACATAAACAAATGTTTACCCTGGTCCCACATAAACAAATGTTTACCCTGGTCCCACATCAACAAATGTTTACCCTGGTCCCACATCAACAAATGTTTACCCTGGTCCCACATCAACAAATGTTTACCCTGGTCCCACATCAACAAATGTTTACCCTGGTCCCACATCAACAAATGTTTACCCTGGTCCCACATAAACAAATGTTTACCCTGGTCCCACATAAACAAATGTTTACCCTGGTCCCACATAAACAAATGTTTACCCAGGTCCCACATAAGCAAATGTTTACCCTGGTCCCACAAATGTTTACCCTGGTCCCACAAATGTTTACCCTGGTCCCACAAATGTTTACCCTGGTCCCACATAAACAAATGTTTACCCTGGTCCCACAAATGTTTACCTTCCCCAGCTGGTGCCGATGTTTGTGCTAGAAACCATGGGAGTGTACCCTGGCCTACCTGGCCTGTTTGTTGCCACAGTCTTCAGCGCCTCCATCAGGTACCTCAATCAACAATCTTTACTTTATTTTAGTTTTAGCCAATTTTAGTTTAATAAACAAATTTTAAAATTTAAATTATGTTGGACAAGTAGACCATTTAATTATGTTAAATATTTGTTTCCGTAATTCATTATTTGTGTTTCCTATGACCCCCCCCCCCCCCCCACAGCACTGTGTCCTCTGGGGTGAACTCTCTAGCAGCCGTCACCCTTGAGGATCTCTTCAAGCCTTGCTACAAGAGAGCCAGGAACGAAAAACCTTCAAAAAGAATCGCTACCATAGCAACCATTTGCCTCAGTAAGTTGTGGAAATGACGTCAGTACTGTTTGAGACACGTCATGCCGTTAGTAGTGTCTGAAACTTCGCATTGCTTCATGTATCATCGATGAGGTGAAATAGCAGAGATGATATTTTATTGATGAGGTGAAATAACAGAGATGATTATATTTTATTGATGAGGTGAAATAACAGAGATGATTATATTTTATTGATGAGGTGAAATAACAGAGATGATTATATTTTATTGATGAGGTGAAATAACAGAGATGATTATATTTTATTGATGAGGTGAAATAACAGAGATTTTTTCCAGCAATTTTCTTTGGTCTCCTCACAATTCTACTGACCTACGGAGCTGAGCTGTTGGGTAAAACGGCCCTCACAATATCGTTCGGTGTATTCGGTATGGTGGGAGGACCGCTGCTAGGCCTGATCATGAATGGAATCTTCATTCCTTTTATCAACAGCTGGGTAAATTGTTTGCGCTAATCTAATTATTTCTAAGTAAATTTCATAACAAAATCTGAAAAAGCTAATAAAATAAATTGTGCTTTTAAAAGAAGCTTTTAAATCAATTGTAATAACTCATTAGCTCTAGATCTATGTATTAGTGCCAAAAATAGCCCCATCCAAAATACCTTATGTTGATAGTATACTACTATGAACAAAAGGCAGACATAAGCCTTGATAATGAACTATCATTTGTAGCTTTAAAAGTTTAATGTTCATCTAACTTCAAGATATACAATGTTAATTTCTGCATTTTGTATTCAAAGAAGAAAAAATATTAGTAAAACAATGTAAACAGTCCACATCACTAGTTCTTCTAGTTTCATGTCGAACGTGTGCAATTAATTCCTCCACAGGGCGCGGGCGCCGGCCTCATCACGAGTCTAGTTGCTTGCCTCTATGTGGGCATCGACCCCGTGCTATACCCACCCCCCAGCAATGATCTGCCACTGAGATCTGATGGCTGCCCCTATGACAACTCCAGTCTCGTTAGAATACTGGATGAGTGGAACACATCCACTACAGCATCATCTTTCACATCAACTACAGCAGCATCTCTAAATGTGTCGTCTGCCACTGTAACCACAACGTATGTAGAATTTTTAGTTTATTTTGTTTTAAACATGGAAAACATAATAATATTTAATTCTTCAAAATACACAATAAACGTTCGAATCATTTTAAAAAATTGATCCTATATTCTTATTTTAATAGTATGGGCGCCTTTTTATCGAGGTTTTGGAATTCACAATCGTTGATTTTTGTTGCTTTATTTGTTGTTGTTGTTTTGTTTTTGTTTTTTGTTTTTTTGTTGTTTTTTTTTTTTGTTTTTTTTTTTGTTTTTTTTTTTTGCATCAAAGCTTAATAAATGTTTTTAAAAAATGAGTCCAATCCAATTATTCTCCAGTGCAAGCAGCGATCACCTTTATTTATCCTACATTCATTACTCAACGCTTGCATTGATTGTGTCAGCAGTGGTTGGTGTCATAGTCTCACTTCTGACATGTAAGTTGTTTACAGTTATAATCATAGTTTAATTTCTTACCTGTAAGTTGTTTATAGTTGTAATCATAGTCTCACTTCTGACATGTAAGTTGTTTACAGTTGTAATCTTAGTCTCACTTCTTACATGTCAGTTGTTTATACTTGTAATCTTAGTCTCACTTCTTACCTGTAAGTTGTTTATAGTTGTAATCATAGTCTCACTTCTGACATGTAAGTTGATGTAGTATTTGGCAAACAAATTGGCTTAGAAAGTTATGAGCTAAACGTTTGTAACATGTTAACCTGGTAAATGCATACATCTTACCCAGCCAACATGACGTAAATGTTCAAAAAATCAGAATTCATGTTGTTGTTTTTTTTCTTGAAGGCTGTAACAAAGGTAAAGAAATAGATCCAAGAACTTACCTGAACTATTCGTGGTGCTGTCCAAAGAAGGTACATTTTTATAGACAAGTTTCTTTGTTATTTACAAACTAAATTTAACCAGGTATGGAGTGGTGGGGTCTGCCCCAGGTCAAATAATTTAGCTGAATCATGTATATACCTATGTAAATATATACATATGTATTTGCATTTACACAGAGGCGTAGCGAGGGGGGGGGCGGAAGGGCGGACCGCACCGGGTGACAACATTTAGGGGGGTGACACCAAGGCAAAAAATAGCAAAATATATAGAGAAAAACTTGAGGGGGTGGGGGTGCAAATCGAAAGTTCGAGGGGGGTGTAAATCAAAAGTTTAAGGGGAGGGGTGCAAATCGAAAATTTGAAAGTTTGTCCCCGGGAAGGGTCGCTACGCCTCTGGGGGTGACACCATTAAGTGCCGCACCGGGTGACACCCGACCTCGCTACGCCACTGTATGTACATATGTATAAATATATATATATATACAATTTTCATAAATATATGTAGCCTATATATAGAGATAGAGAAAGAGAGAGGGGCATTTATATTAATATTTATGCATTTTTATTTTTTTTTAATCTTGTATTTAATAATTTGTTCCCCAGAAATGCTCCTCGTATAACATCCACCATTTTGATGATGCTAACGGACATAAGCGTAACAACAATCTAGTCCATAAAGAAGTCCTTCGTGAGCAAGATTCCATCTCTCGAAATGGCACTGTCACAACCTTATCATCCTACTATACCTACTCAAATACTACATTTAATGAGCAATGATTTCAAAGAGCAGTCTTAAGGACCTTTGTCACTGACCAACTTGATGATCAGAGTTTGTTTTTACTTTCTCGTATATACGAAGTATAGAGAAAGTATTGAAATCGTGCAAAAAAAAATCGAGATTTTTACAAATCTCGACGTTTTACACCTCACTGATACGGAAAAACATAATTTTGCAATCTTGTCCGTATGTCTGTGAGTCTGTGTGTGTGTCTGTGTGTGTGTGTGTGTGTGTGTGTAAACACGATAACTTGAGTACCGTTACAGCTAGGTTGATGAAATTTCATATATAAGTATTTTATCAAAATCGTAGATCCGTATCAACTTTTGAGCGATTTCCGATAATCGGAAGTGGTACTTTTTCTACTTTGAATTTTTCAAAAGCCTATAACTTGAGTACTATTTCAGATAGATAAATGAAACTTGATATGTAAGTAAAAGATCTAATTCTCTACCTTCTGTCAAATTTTGAGTAATTTCCGTTGACCGGAAGTACTTATTTACGCTATTTCCGATTTCTCAAAAAACGCATGTAAATTTATCAAGTACTAATAATATTGCGCACTATTATGCACATCTTTATTTAGCGTTCTCTAGGTGTGCATTTCTTTTTTCTACGAGATTATATTCTATTTTTAAAAATTTGAGTATTTAAAATGGATTAAAAATCATGTCTAGAAGTCTATATCCCGAGTTGCCATCCCCCCGTAGTGTTATATTAGAATATTCGAGAAAGTTTAGGGGAGATCACTCCCGGTTTATTTAAAAATGTGCTTTTGTTTGTTTGTGCATTGAAGGCAATCTAAATTTTTAGATTCCAAGTATTTACAAATGTACAAATTAGTGTTAGACCTATGTTTTTTACAGATTATTGTAATATTTTTATATTTGTTACCAATTTTTAAATACATTCATGTTACTTTTATAAAAATTCCTGTAAGTATTTATAAATGTTTCTATTTTGTTTTATTTAAAATAATGTAAAATATATGATTTTCCATTATTCTAAATCGGACACGACATGTTATAATGTGTTTAAATCAGACGCGACATGTTATAATGTGTTTAAATCAGACGCGACATGTTATAATGTGTTTGAATCAGACGCGACATGTTATAATGTGTTTGAATCCCATTCTGTGATCAACAATCTTTGTTATAAACATATTGTTGCTGAGGAAATGAGTTTTTTTCTGACTGACCTATTAAATAATTGCTGAATTGACTTCATGTTTTCTATTGATTGATTATATGTGATTATGTAGAGGTAACCTACTTGGCTCCAGAATAAACAGCTGTGTTTAAATTGCTAATGTTTTGTCTAGAAATACATTTACTGGAATTTCACATACATACAATACAAGAGATATTAATAATAAGCTGAGGTTTGATTATTTGTAACACATTTTTATATGATTTTAACTTTGTATTACAAATAAAAAAAAATAACCACATATACGATAATGCATAAAACTGATATTTTCAACCAATTATAAATTTCTTTTAAAAATAATAAAAACCTTTCAAATGCACTTAAATGTTAAAAATAAAACAAACTTTCTTTCTTTAGTAAAAATATTGCTCGCTATAATAGTTACGACATTGCCCTACTATAAAAACATCCCTGCCATATTTCACAAGCCCTACTCCGGTATAAAAACATCCGTCAATGCACCTCACTTGATTTTGGAAAAATATCGATGTTTTAAGAAAAATTCAACAGTAGGCTGAGGTGTGACGTCATGTTATGGGGGGTCTGGCTTTTTGTGACGACGTGTGACGGAGGGGAGGGGGGAGGTAAAAATCGTCCAAAAAAGCGTGACGTCATTTATGGATGACCCCCTACCTATATACTATTTTACAGCTCTACACATATTGCAGATTCTCTCCAGTATCCAATCAGACAAACAAAAAACAAACAAAAAAAAAACAAATAAATATTCAAACATGTAAACCAACTTGAGTTTTAGTAGTATAGAGATGATTTGTTTTGTAAATGTGTACTATCTTGGTTTTCTATTAAAAATCCGAAGGCCTTACAAGCACACGTTAAGAAAAAGCAAAAACTTACAAAAGCGTGAACAAAATTTTAAGTCTAAGTCTACTTCTGCTTACGTTTTATTTGAATGTTACAGAAATGTTACGGCTGGAACTTAACATTTGTTTTTCTTATCATAGTTCCAGTAGATGGCGTTGTACTTGGACCTTGCTGCGCAGTTGGCAAAGTCAAGGTCACACTTGCAGGATTTCTGTCCACAGAAGGTGTTAGAAGGTGCTGCGTTAGAATAAATTGAGAAATTTGTTATCCTTATTTTATAGAATAAAGATGGAACTTGTAAGTTAATTAATTTGTTAGACGATTTCTAAAATCGTAATATTTGTTATGTGATTTTAAGGTTTTCATACCTGAGGAGTACAAATTGTTTCAGAACAAATATTTTATGGACAAAGTATTTCAGGACAAAATATATTAATTATAAATTATCTCGGATTTAAAACATCTCACGGCAAATTTCCTGCTGTATTTTTAGAAGGTGTGACTTGTCAACTGAACATTTGTCATGTAGTCACAAGCTTTCGTCCATTGGCTGAACTATGTGTGTAGGTGTAAGCGTTTGTTGTTATGTGTGTATGTGTGTATGTATGTTTGTGTATACATGAGTTACAGAGGCGTAACGAGGGCGGGGCGGGGATACGGACCGCACCGGGTGACACCATTTAGGGAGGTGACACCCAGGCAAAAATAGCAACATTTATGTAGAAAAAAAAAAGATGATTCCATTTAAATGAATAATTAATTACAGACAAATTGTTTTTAAGAGCAAAATTGACGAAACCCGAACAGGAGGGGGGGGGTGACACTATTTCGTACACTTGCTAAGAATAGAGAAAACAATGTAACACCCAACACCCATCTGTATTAATAACTGACGATAGATAAACAACGTTACTATTGTCCGTGCAAAAATTAGACCTATCCAAAAAAAGAGGGGGGGAGGGGTGACACCAACCTTCACCGCTAGGTACCACAACGGGTGACACCCGACCAAGCAACGCCATTGATGAGTTAGGTGTGTGTGCGCGTGTGTGTGTGTGAGTAAACTCACCACAAGTACAGTTGTTGCCACTGCAAAAATATTTATAGTCTACGACGTAAGGCCAGCAATCCATGATGGTACCATAGCAGTCGTCATGGGCTTTACAGCATCTGAAATAGGGAAATATTTCTCGCTTACTTTATACTCATAATTGTATGAACACTCACCAGCACCCATTGATTCACATTAGAAATAGTTAAACTTGACAACTTTTGTCGAACAGAATTATTACTGGTTTCACCAGAACTCATTAATTGACAGAGTTATCACTAATTTAACATTAAATTTTACACATACTACAATATTGCAGTCTATGTGAAGTAACCCTTTTGAACCTGGCCACCAATGCAATAGATGAAGTAGAGTTCAAATGTTTTCTGTAAATTCGGCATTTTCAGCACTATGCTCAGCGGCCTTTCCTTTCCATACCTTAATACATGTACCTTCAAATTTGAGTGGATTCATGTACCTTCTACAGACTTAGATTAAGGAACCGGACATATTACCGCGTAGAAGACCTATTATTGTAACTACTAGCTTATACCTGTCAGTGTCGTCCACGGGTGTTCCATACCCCCCTAAACCACAAAAACAGCCGTAGCGTTGTAGTATATGGCGCCATCTCTTCCAGTAGCCTGGGTCAGTAGTCCCGCTAGGTTGAAGATGCTTCTCTTGCGGATAATCACCCCGGATGAAGCTGTGTAAACAATAAGCATAGAGTTCTTTCAGGCATTTATTCGAGGTGGTACCGCCCCTACCTCCAATCACCGTCCCCTCCCCCACGGACGAAATAGAAAAATTATAATTTTTACGAAAAATGTATACTCTGACCAGTGTACGTCAGCCCCCCCCCCCCCCCACCTTAACCCTAAAGTTTCAAGTGCTTTTGCATCCCTGAGAAAAAAATCTGAAAGAAACCCTAAGTACACGTATCTCACACATCATTACACCACCACTACCAGATACCCCACACATCATCACACTACAACCACCACAACCCAACACGTAGAATATCTTCACCAAACATACCAAGAGGACACACAAGCTAAAATCCCCATCCCCTAAAGGACAATATATGTGTATGTACCATAGTGGACGAACAAATTGTTTACTTATATGTCACTCACCAACTGATACCATGGCCAGTAACACAACGAAACACTTGACCAATATATTCATCTTGACTTGACTGAAATACAATAAACAGGTAAAGAAATTACTCTGGCGAAGTTTAAAAGACAAATGTAGAAAGTTAAGCCTACATATTACTGTATTTGCGTGTTGATTTTTTCGCTCATTTTATAAAAAAATTTTAGACCTGAGCTAGCCCTTTTTGAAACGTTTCTAGGAGAGACAATTCTTGGTTGGACAAAGGCTATTGAATTAAGTCCAAAAAGAAAAGCAGGCTGAAATCGTAGTCAATGACCTATATCGCACACATGGTGACACGTAAGACTTAATTGTGTTGGAGGGAATATGTTCCTAATATAGATTTAAGAACGAAGGAGAAGAAGAGATAAAAACGTATCAAATATAAGACATTCTATAATTGTGTATTTATTATGTTTTGAAGTAAGTATTAAACACGTGTGTAAACATCAAAATGAAAACACAATTAGCAATACTCGTGTTTTAACGTAACCATCTTAGTTAAGAAAAACTGCCACTTCAAAATTGACAACAAAAACAGACTTGAGATAAAGAGTTTCATATAAACAAAGACTAAGGGCATAATTTAGAGACTCTAAAACATTTGGAAAACAAATAGCAATGTCTCATGAAGTTTATGTAGAGAATAGTATCTATTTCAGAATTTCTAATACAACAAAACTTACGCTTAATAGTTTAAAAATATCAAAGTTTTAACTTGAAAAAAATCGCTAATGCTTATATTGATGGCAGATCTAAAGTACGGAGCTGTATGTTAATCAATACAAAAATAATGTGACGAGCCTTCTGCAGGTT